ATGATACAATACATAGGAGGGGGCAGTATTGAGTCTATTGGCATCAATGAAGGAAGAAAACAAAAGGTAAAAAATAATTTTCTGTCAAGACACTTAGAAACTTGGCAGCGATCTTTGTTGTTCTGTTGGCAACCCTGCCAACAAAGAAGCTGTGTGAGGTCTTCATTAATACAAGCTGAAAAATGAACATAGGGAAAGTCCTTTTTTGCTAGCTACTGTGTGTCAGTCATGGGTCATAGGCTATAGAAGGACACAGCTCATCAAAAGTCAGAGCAAGATAAAAAGAAAAGTAAAAACCAAACAAGCCTCCTAACATCCCAGCTCTGTAAAATTGTATATAATCAGAAACAGCTGCTAGGAAGCTGGGTATAATTTCTAACATCAGACAAACTAGCTGCTGCCATCATGTGCTTATTTGTCTGGCCTGCCTACCCAAGTAATCAATGGAACTCTGGTTCTCACTCTTGAGAAAGAATAGGATTTGTGACTCCTTTGAACAGTTGCTTCCTACCCCTCTGCCATGCACCATGCAGTAAAATTGGCACACTTTTGATTGATGAATGAATTTCAGTATGGGTCTACACATCTCCAATACTTTGGAGCTCACTATATTCTTTGTGCTCATGAGCATAAAGTAGCCAGTTGAGAGTCCGATACATCTAAGCTGCCATGACTAAATACATCAAAACATTCTTAGTACTCATCTCTTTCTCCTTAACAGGTGACTAAGGGCATGAGCCATAATTAATTTAATGTCCCTTAGCTCTTCATCTCTGACTTGCCTTTCTACAGTGATCTCTCCATAGTCCTCTTCACAACCAGCAAACCAAAGATATTGCAAGGATTGGCCCCAAATCTTTCAGAGTCTGCACTGTTCATATTCTTAAGGCAACATCCATAAGTAGTAAATAAAATGGCTTTCAAGGATATTTCCTTTCTTGCTAGCCAAGTCTTTGAGATTTTTATGGGCCTTAATGAAAAAGGTAAAAGGTCACAAAAACACATGTATTCACTGTAGGGAATAGGCTGCCAAGGTGCATCAACACTGCGAAGATATGAACAGCTACATATTACCACTGGACACTAGATAAATAGGTTGTGGTTACAAGAATTATTCTCTGTTTGTTTTTTTCTATTCACTAGAAATATTTAATTGATTAACTATATATAAGCAAGATGCTACTAACATTTTAACAAAATGTTCCTATGTTAAATGCCCTGTGGCTAGAAGACACACAAAAAGAAAAGAATTCTACTTATGACAGCTGTGGCTGAAGCCTCATTGGATGTCATACCCATTACACCAGCGTTGCCCACATAAGCGGTAGTTGGCCTTCTCCTAGGCCCAGGGAGGGCTAAACATTTGAACATGCAAATCAAGCTTTGGCACATTTGGCTTGGCCTGAAAAGGTTTTTTCTTCATGTCCCTTCTCCCTAGTCAGCTCCTGCCCACCATTATCCTATTGCTGTGTACATTACCAAAGCCAGGATTTTGGGAAGGTGATGCACCCAAAATAAGAGTGACTTGTTTCATTAAATGTGTTGGGAGTAGGGCCTTTAAATTTCACCCACCCACACACTTCCCACCCTCACATTAAACCTCATTACTTCTGTGCCTCAGCCCCACTAACTAAATGAAATTGGTCTACTACATTTTCAAGGAGAATGAGCTAACGCAATCAACCACCCAGGATTTTCTGGGACAGGCCAAATGTCAGGTCTGTGTCCAGATGTTCCCAAGGATTCTTCGAGGTGGGATTTTTGTCACAACTTGGAGAAACTGGTCCCAGATCAGTACCAGGCAGTGTCCTGTTGAATCTGCTGAGAGGATATGATATGTAGCTTTGTCATGTTACAAGGAGAAAGGAGCTTGCTTTTCCTTTTTTTGCTTTTTCTTTCTTTCTCTTTCATCCAGTTAATTGTTTGAACAGGGAGCTAATCTCCACTATGGTGGTGTTATTTAAGATTCTGTATTGTACAACACTACTGTGCGGAAGATAGATTTTATGTCTCTGGACAGACAAAACGGTTAAACTCCTTCAAAAAGAGGAAAGGGGTATATGTAGTATCAGTGTTGGTCTGAGACAAAAAGAAACGCAAAAATCTAGAACTCTTGGTTCCAAAATGATACCTTTTATTAGACCAAATGAGAAACTCTAGATTTTTGCATTTCTTTAAAAGGAGGAAAGGAACTTACCATGGTGCAGCTAAATTTGGTGCAAAGGTTTTTTCTACCTGCTCCTAATCCACAGTACAAACTGTTGAACGTTCAGGAGGAAACTATTGCAGTTTCATTTCACTTACTGAGGGTTAGTAGTGGACAGAGAAGACAGTTACACCAGATCATCCAATATACACACCTGAGCAGTAAGCCACCCTCCTTTTAAAGCAGTGTAATAGTATGGCTCTCCATCCCTTAACAGTTCCAGATATATTTTGAAAGCAACATCTGCATAAAACAAAGTTTTGCTTGAAATTCATAGGAATGCAATCAATACTTCATAGTCCAATCAGTACTTTATTCCTTGTGCTTGATTGAATGGATGTTAAATGCAACCTTATGCAGTCATTTCATTTTAAAGTGCCACAGATCTTTGCATTTCAACGCACATAATT